TTTTAATTTTTTTATTTGAGTTTTTGTTTAAAATAATTTTATTTAATATATTTTAATCATGATTTATAATATATATTATATATTTATTTTTTATTGTTATTTGTTAATTTTTTGAAAAGTTGATTCCTACACACATGGAAATGAGAAAACTTTTCATTTACTATGAAATGGTTAATTCCATGGAGATGGGTTTTGCCATTCCCATTGGGATGGTCATTCCTTCCCAAAAAATATACCAATCATGGGATTAGGAATGAGTAAGGGAATGATCATTCCATTCTCATGTCATTCCTTCCTACCAATCATGCCATTAATCTATGTAAGAAGTAGTAAAAACATTTCAGCTAATTATGTGAACTTATAATTAAAGATGAAATTTATTTGACTTAATTATTTGGGGTTCAAAAAATTATAAATTAGGATTCACAAATACTAGTTTTTATGAAATAAGGGTAAATTAATGACAAAAATGCCATTGTTATAGCAAACTATAAACGAACATTCATAAATACAACTCAGCTAGACTTGTTTAATAAACATGTAGCAGTACTCCAAGAATTAAAAAAAAAAAATATATATGAGAAACAAGAAATCTAGCCACATATCCTCATAAATGGTATTTGTGAAAGGTCCGTTTTCATGTTTATTTTTGAATCTTTTATGTCAGAATTTGCTTTTAAGTGATCACAACTTATAATTAATATTCGGGAAAATTCTTTTGAGTTATGCTGATAATAATTTGATTTTTAGTTACAGTTTTAGGTCTACAATTAATTGATTAATCCATTTCAGTACGCACTCACATGCATGCAGAACTTTTATTGAGGTTTTTATCTGCTGCAATAACTGCGACCCACCACGAAACAAAATGTACACAGACATGCATGCTTTATGGGATTGTACTCTCTCTACTGCCAAGAGGAGTAAATGTATACCAATTAGTTTGCCTACAAATATAAAAAACTGATATAATTGCCAAGTTTTTTTTTTTAATATTATATTAAATGAAAAAATATAATTTATTTTAAAAGAAATAAACATATGTATGAGAAAGTATAAGCGATGAATAATTGCTAGGCTAGGAATGGCCGCCCACGGAGATTGCGTGCCTTGCGTATTGAATGCAATTATCTCGATGAATGTTTTTTTTTTCTTTCTTCTTTTTCTTTTTCTTTTTCTTTTTTCTTTTCGTTTTTGATTTGATCACATTTAACTTAACAGAGACAACGAGTTGCAGACAAGTTGAAGATGAGAAAATTGCAAATAGTACCGTAGCACATTTTACATTTTAATTCTGGTTCGCAAGTTCTTGCATGATGCGTGTCTACATGTTTTTTTTTTTTTAAAATAATNTGCATGATGCGTGTCTACATGTTTTTTTTTTTTTAAAATAATACATATGAAATGTCGTGATTTTGCTTAATTATACATTATGTCAGTGCATGTACGATATTTCATTTTGAAATTATGCATTTATTGAAAAAAATATAGTTGTGTAACCGTCAATTTGGCCTAACAGTACGTTAGACAAATTAATGATATATTTTTATGCATAATGTATGATAAATCGACCTTTGGACATCCTCAGCGTTTGTGCATTGTTGTTAAGACATTTAGAGGGCAAGGCTGAATAATAATGATCGAATAAGTCTCAACGTAGCCTAAAATTAAGACTCTACTTACAAACTACTTATATCATTTAAAACAAATTCTTTCAGTAACCTCATTGTGATTGAAAAAGATATCAAGGACAAGGGCTGAATGAAAGACAAGAGGAAGGTACAATTTATTTAAAGATAAAAAGTTCACTTCTTTAGGTTTTAACTTCTTCAATTTCCCTCAGAAGGATTCAAAGTTGGTGCTTCAATGCAGCTGCAGTTATTGCACAAGCTATTGTGCACACATTTTATTCTATTTACTTTTTTCAATTTATTTCTAATGCATGGTATCCAAGGATTGAGTTAATAAAGAAATAAAAAAAATAAAAATAACATGTCTGGTTAAACTTGCTACAGATGAATCTCATTAAATCTGTGGGTCCATTTGGTTGGGTTCAAACCTTCAGCTAATTCAGTTTCATTAACATGCATATAGTACCATAAACTTGCAACCAATTTCCAATTTACATCACTCTTACATCTTGCCAACATTTTTGTCTTAACAACAAATCACTTCCTTAAAAAATGAATGAAGTTACTTAAACATAAAAGTCTCACAAAAAGGATTGTATAATTTAGTAGTTATTGTTTTTAAAGCTGATGTGATGTGTAAATAAAAAAATAAAATGATCTGACAGATGTGTGCTATTATATAAAAAATTTATGTCATTTTTTATATTACTATAGCATGATTAAAAAAATATACGGTTTTATTGACATTGAGACACTCCTTTTAACGATTCATTCGACCATGTTGACTGCAATACAGTCACCATTTTTTCCCATTAAATCAATAAATACACAATTACATATATATCCATACTCACAAGAGTGTGTGTTGATCCAACGATAACAAAAAAATCTGGTACTCCATCTCTCCAAATAGTACAAATGGCCATTTATAAAAGACATCCTCTTTCCCAAGAACCTTAGATTCTCTCCCTTTGAGAAGCACACTACATAGATCCTTTCTTTCTTTTGCTGTCCTTGGCCATATTTACTCCATTGTCACTCTCTCCTCACAACTCTTTAAGCCCATAAAAAGAAAAGGGAGGGGAAAAGCACAGTGTAAATTCAAAACAGTCCATAAACAAATTCAATCAAAAAAAAGGCCAGCCAAACCAACCTACATTCTGAAAGAATATTGATTGTGATAGTTTGGTCCCTTTCATATCACCTCAAAAAATTAATAAAATATATGGCCTTAGATGTACCCTAAAAATTAGCTTATATCTAGGCTTAATTATTCTCCTTCTTCTTGATATGCCCAAAAATTAACTTACAGTCCTTTGGTTTTCG